CCGGTGTCTAGTATGCGCTAGCATGCAAGCGGCACTGTAATCAACGTCCATTGTCCATCTCAATCTCCTGTACTTGCAAAGGCCAACAAAGCTATTCGCGCCTTTCTCTATCTCTTTCTCTCTCTCTCTCTCTCTCTCTATCTTTCTCTTTCTCTTTTTCCTCTTCTTCTTCTTCTTCTTCTTCTCTTTCTTTTTCTTCTTCTTCTTCTTGAACTCGCGAACGCGTAGGAGATCGAATATTTCAAGGGACGAGCCGTGACATATCGGGCACTGGAGAACGTGTAACGTTTCCAAGGAGAACTCTCTTGTTAAAGGTTTGGCTGATGTATATATATATATATATATATATATATATATATATATATATATATATACGTTAGAACTCGCGACCTCTTGACCATCTCTGGTCACCGATATATACCCACAAACTCTGACACAGAGACTCTTTGGATTACGCGTGTTTGCTTTTATCTTCAAGTTTCTCTCCTCTCTCTCTCTCTCTCGCTCTCTCTTTCTTTATCTATCTCTGTAGAGTTTTCTTTCTGTGTTCAACATGTACGTTGTACAGAAAGAGAGAGAAAGGGAGAGGGAGGGAAGGAGGAAAGGAGCAAGAGAGTAAGAGAGGGGAGAGATAAACTCCCACGAAGAGCTGGACTCAGGGCAAGGAAAGTGCACCAAAACGATTTGTCCTCTCTTTTCCTCTACCTCTTCCTACTCTTTCTTCGTCATCATCATCGTCTTCTTCTTCTTCGTCTTCGTCTTCGTCTTCATCTTCGTCTTCTTCGTCTTCTTCTTCTTCTTCGTCTTCGTTGTCGTCGTCGTTGTCGTCGTCGTCGTCGTCGTCGTCGTCGTCGTCGTTGGTACTGCGGAGGCACATGTGCACGTCGCCGAGTCGCCAGACAGATCTTTTTTGTCCCGAAGTAAAAATAATCTTTAAAACCCCGAACAGGATGCGTTGTTAGAGCAGGGGACGAGCGAGAGAGAAAGAGAGAGAAAGAGAGAGAGAGAGAGAGAGAGATAGGGAGAGAGCATCGGGCATCGTCACCAAGGCGCGTCCACGCGGCGTTTTTTCACCCTTTGGACCTTCCTCTTTCTTCTAACGGGTGTCCGAAATGAATCAATCCGAACGAACTAATGCCATTTCCGGTGATATGTCACGAAATATTTATCGCAAGATAATGTTCCTATTTCTTATCTTAAATTTATATATATATATATATAAATGTATGGGTATGTGTATCTTATTTACAAAATTTGCATTTATTTCTAAATTAATGTAATCGAATTAACACGAATAATGTTAGTTGTTAATGTATATATGTATATATGTGTATATATATATATATATGTAAGAAATTTCTTTGATATAAAGAATCGTAGAAACTACATATTAAGGTGCGAGAGGTAAGTATAAAAATGTGTATGAACTTGCGAGTCGAACGAATGAAAGACAACGGTGGCCTCACCGGATAATGAATGTGGGAGTTTCACACGGGTCAACGGATCGTTGCGTTTTCTAAGGATACGGACTCTCTTCTACGATGCACTTGGAATTTCTCCTTCTCCTTCTTCTTTCTCCTCTATACCTGGACTATCCTCTCTTGGAAGCGTGCTTGCTCTTAATAAACACCTTGATAACTTATGCATTCCAAGTTAACGATAAGATCAATGGAGACGCTCCTTGAAAATTTACCAGTTAGCAAAAGTAGATCGCGAATGAGCGTTCGTTACCCTTTTTTTTTTTTTTTTTTAATAATACGACATATATTATTAAACATTTCCTTTCGACAATTTTCTGTTAGTCTATCATTTATACATATATATATATATATATATATATATATATATATATATATGTATATACAGCATTCATTCGTGATATTTAAATATTAAAAAAAAAAATGTATATATATATATATATATCTTTTCATTTTTATAATATAGATATATAATGATATTTATATAATTGTTTCCTTTTATTTATATTTCGTATTAAAATAACGTATACTTATATTTATATTATCCCTCGTAAACACATGTAGATACGTACGTCGTTATATATCGTAGATGAAAATGAAGGAGAGAAACGACGAATGATCTCAAAGAAACTAAAGTTTACGCGAGCGTCGACCGTAAAGAATACGGATTAACCTTCGACCGCGAAACACTTTGCCGAGTTTAAATTCGCGCTAGAAGTCGCGTGCCGCGCTTCCATTGCCCTTTTGAAAAGACCGTGGCTCCTAGGTCCTTTCTATCGACTATCGAAGGATCGAACGTTTGCCGCATTTTCAATGCTGCCCGTTCGACGAACAATATAGATATAACTATACATATATATATATATATGTATATATGTATGTATATATGTATGAATACACACGTCACGTGCATTTATACATATATGTATATGTATTTATATCGATGAATGCCAGTTACAACGATTCTTCCATTGAGACGACTAGTACGATGTAAAAGAGAGAGTAAGAGAGAGAGAGAGAGA